TACGTCTTCCAGCAGGCCCGATCCATTTAGAGGGAAGAATAATTCATTGCATAATATGCTATGCTACAGCTTGCATTGCCATATGGCATGCAGAGTGTATGATGTGAATTTGCTGAAGACGTGCGGTGCTGCACTACTGAAGAATCCTGCTGAGTTGCGTCATTGCTAACCGGAAATGTAGCTCCAGCGGCACTGCGCGGCCAGTTTCACTTTTCACGGGTTTGTATCCTGACATCCGTTAATCGAAGCACCGGGAACTTTCAGCGACCGATTACAGTACGCTTTAAAAGTCGCGGTGAAATGTTTTCAAGATGCTCAAATGTAAGCCCCTGGTCAGGTCGTGTATTGTAATATTGCAACGCCATCTCTATTCAGCTGCGCGGGGTAACATGGACTGCGGAACAAAATGAAAGGAATGAAACCAGTCGTACGATGTAGGTGAACATTCCAACCACAAAGCATTGGACCATTTCAATACTGCCCAAATATATGCGGTAGTAGTAGATCGGGAAGCCTCCTTTTCCGAAACCGGCCTGAAATGCGAAGCGGTGTGGCCTAACCAGAGACAGATCGGATTATGGACTGAACAGGCACATGGACCAGCTTATGGTGATCGATGTCCACACAAAATATTTTCTTTTTCGACTACCTTTGCCGGTGATAAACGTCGCCTATTATTTCAGATTAATGTACGTAATGGAGAAATACTGTCAGGTCTTGGCAGACCCCAGCCCACTCAATATTCTAGTCAGAGATGTCTAGAGCGTGACCAATAAACATCAGAGCGCCCCCGCCGGCTAAACGAATGGAAGTAGGATATTTCAATGCATTGATAGGCCCTATCACTATGGGCACCTACAGACGATGGCTCCATTCGTTTATGTTCAAGTGTGATGCGCATGGTAATAACAACCACGTTTGTGATCAGCTCTCTCCTCCCACTCCGCAGGAGTTGTCTCACTGGTTTAAATGTCGGGATAATAATGAATTATAACTTATTAATCATCATGAAATCTCGCGTGTTTCATACCAGCTTGTGTGTGTTCAAATGAAGGACGATAGAACCACGCCCACATCTCAGTCGGATCCATTCAGTAGGCGAGAACACGGCACTACAGTATATGCACATACATCACACATGTGCTATCAGTTGTACAAGTTTAATGTGCATCATGTGACCTGTCTAACGCTGGAGACGGACCTGTGACCCATCTGACGTTGGAGACGGACCTGTGGCCCATCTGACTCCGGAGGCGAACCTGTGACCCGCCTGACGTTGGAGACGGACCCGCGACCCGTCTGACGTTGGAGACGGACCTGTGACCCGTCTGACGTTGGAGACGGACATGTGACCCGTCTGATGTTGGAGACGGACCTGTGACCCGCCTGACGGTGGAGACGGACCTGTGACCCATCTGACGTTAGAGACGGACCCGCGATCCGTCTGACGCTGGAGACGGACATGTGACCCGGCTGGCGTTGGAGACGAACCTGTGACCCGTCTGACGTTGGAGACGGACATGTGACCCGTCTGACGTTGGAGACGGCCATGTGACCTGTCTGACGTTGGAGACGGAAACATGTTACCCGTCTGACGTTTGGAGACGGACCTGTGCCTGTCCTGACGTTGGAGACGGACTGTGACCTGTCTGACGCTGGGACGGACCTGTGACCCGTCTGACATTGGAGGCGGACCTGTGACCCGTCTGACGTTGGAGACGGACATGTGACCTGTATGATTGTTGGAGACGGAACCCGTGATCGCGTCTGACGCTGGAGACGGCTTTGCACCGGTGCAGCTCTGCTGTCGCTGCCGGCCTTCACAGGCAGCTGACTGCTGCGGGGACTCACTGCTGTTCTACGGCCTTCCACCCAGTAAACCCAATGATGACAGGTTCGCCCCGTAAGACATGCAAGTACTGCCGTTTACAGCGCTTGTTGGCTGCACTCGATACCATCGTCGGCATGTTTATGCTTACAACGCGACTTGTGCCGCTCTATCCTGTGGGAGCCTTTCCCCACAGCAATCACGTCAGATTTAACAATTGACCTATCGCGGTAGATGTGAAAGAAAATGACATAAAGAATCCAAAAGGATTAATGGGGTCGCTCACAACTATTTTGAGGAAAGCGTTCGCTGCTGATTTATGGATTCAATAGCGCGGAATTAATTAAGACGGCTAGCAGCGTTAGCGTCACGCACACTCGAGCTCTGCGTGACACATCACGCATAGCTTACCCGTCGTCACGGCCGGCGTGCGCGGTGTGGTCCCGTGGCCACACCCGCCCAAAGTTCACGATGCACGGACGCGTTGCCACCGCACAGCTCACGTGTGATCAAAGCACTCTGCAGGGTGGGCGGCTGTGTTTGGAGGCGGTGCGGAGCGGCGTCTGCTGAGCCGGCGGGAGGCCGGTCGGCTGGTCTGCCTGTGACCAGCGCAGTGGATCAGCTGGCTTCCCCCCATCAACGTCGTGGTGGCACAATCTCGGAACTCTTCGCGACATTTACCTTCAACATTTTGCAATGGAAAAGGCTTGTGGTTTCATGCTTTGACCGACTGAGTGGTACTGGTTGTGGAATGCTGGCCGGTGTCCGGCGAAGAGGGCGCGCGAGCTTCGGCTCCGGTGCGCCGTGAGCTTCGGCTCCAGTGCGCCGTGATCTTCGGCTCCGGTGCGCCGTGAGCTTCGGCTCCAGTGCGCCGTGATCTTCGGCTCCGGTGCGCCGTGAGCTTCGGCTCCAGTGCGCCGTGAGGTTCGGCTCCAGTGCGCCGCGAGCTTCGACTCCATTGCGCCGTGAGCTTCGGCTCCAGTGCGCCGTGATCTTCGGCTCCAGTGCCCTGTGAGCCTCGGCTCCAGTGCGCCGTGAGGTTCGGCTCCAGTGCGCTGCGAGCTTCGACTCCATTGCGCCGTGAGCTTCGGCTCCAGTGCGCCGTGATCTTCGGCTCCAGTGCCTCGTGAGCCTCGGCTCCAGCGCGCCGTGAGCTTCGGCTCCACTGCGCCGTGAGCTTCGGCTGCGGTCGTCGTGGGCTGGGCTCGATGCACTGGTGCCCGATCCTGGCGCTGCGGTCTGACCAATTAGCCATCACGCTATCAGGCTGGGGTCGTGCAGATGGCTGGCGCGCCGGCGGCCGCCTGAAGGTCGGCGGCCACCGGCCTCCATATTTGGCGGGCCCCGCTGGCATGCCGATTGGTGCGCATTGATAAGCGCGTTTGGCTGAGTGCATGTTCTACTTCCAAGAAGGCATGCAGCAGTATTGATAATTGGGTCATGCGCACGCGGGCACGCGGGTGGCGCCGAGCGCCACTGGGCCGCCCATCCCTGGGCCGTGCCGAGAGCCACTCCATCCATCCCTGGGCTGTTCCAAACCCCACTGGACCACCCATCCCTGGGCTGTGCCGAACGCCGCTGGGGTCATCCCCTGAGCCGCAGCGAACGTCACTGGAGCCTCCCATCCCTTGGCTGTGCCGAGCGCTACTGAGCCACCCATCACTGGGCCGTGCCGAGCGCAACTGGGGCCATTCCCTGAGCCGAACCGAACGTCACTAGGGCCACCCACCCTTGGGCCGTACCCGGCGCCACTGGGGCCACCCCTGGGCTGCGGCCGGACGTCACTGGGGCCACCCCTCGGCTGCGGCCGGACGTCACTGGGGCCACCCCTGGGCTGCGGCTGGACGTCACTGGGGCCACCCCTGGGCTGCGGCCGGACGTCACTGGGGCCACCCCTGGGCTGCGGCCGGACGTCACTGGGGCCACCCCTCGGCTGCGGCCGGACGTCACTGGGGCCACCCCTGGGCTGCGGCCGAACAGGCCAGGTCGGCTCTCACTGACGCACGGCAAAACTGCAGACCAGACAGACGGCCTTGTTTTCCCGGAGCTAGGTTGTCGCCGACTTGACAGTGACGTATCATGCCGTGATAGACAGCCGACGCGTGGGCCGGCGACGGCCAGCCGGCGGGGGCGCGGCGCGCTGCCGACCAGATACGCGGCCACGCACCGCCCGCGGCGCGCACCGCCGCGATCGCCGATCTGGAGTAATGGCCGACAGGACCAGTCTAATGACTGAGACGCGTTGCGCCGCTTGTTCCGG